TCAGTATGGTTCGCGCTTTCATCTTGTTCCTGTTAATGTAAATTTTATTTTTTCCGTTGAAATTTTTATTTAGCGTTCACAGTTTGGGGGTACTCACTTGCTTCTAATGGAGTTTCGAATACTGACATCTATTTGCAACATTAATTTCCTTGTAAGGTCACTATTTATAATTATTGCTTACGTCCCCGTGATTGTGTCGGCAAGTTTGAGGAAATGGTAGAAAAAAAACTTTAGTTTTTTGCTTATTATTGTTGTTTAAGGATATGGTGCGAAAAGATTTTGTGTTACAATGTCCCTTAAGCAATTACATATTAAAACCTGACCGGGTTGGCATGAAAAGAAAGTCTTATTTACTGATATTGGAACATCTGGCTGTACACGTCAGTAGAGTAATTCTGTAGTTGGAGTGATTCGAGGTATAGAGAAGGGATAACTGGAACGAGTTTGGTGAATTTCAAAAATACAGTAACACCAGGTGAATTTTCCTAAATTAATGTCGATTGAGGGGGAGGTGGCCATATTAAATTTAGTAGTAAATGAATAGTAAATTAAATAGTTTACTAATGTTCATTATAATTAATTATTTTTTGGGCGTTTGATATTGATCAATTATTTTTGACGAGGTACCTCTAGCATTTTGTATAATAGCACATACTCAATTCAATGATGCTTTATTTTACGTTGGAAGCTCATGCCATCTCTTCCATCTGACTACGCAAACTCTTGCTTCGTTCCTTTTGCCATCTAGCAGAGAAAGATGGTGGGGGGGATCTCGGGATACGAATCATGAGATTTGAATTTAGCATAGAGGCTTATATTTGGATTGAGGATCATTTACATGCCAATATTATACATATAAATTATACATTACATATAAATCTTCAACATGGGGCAGCCAACTCTTATTTCCTCTCCGAATAAAGTTATATAAAAGAAATGTTTCATTCTTAAAATCCACAGCTGCGAGCGGGTTTGGATTGATTTGAACATGTTTGAATCCGCGAACTTGTCTATAACAAGCCTAGACGTTAAACCGTACACCACCCGAACTGCAAATTAGATAACTGGAGTAAATGCATATTTATAATTGAAAAGATTGGAATAATACGGGGCCGGAACATTTTATTGCAGTGCAAATATTCAAATAAATTAAGGTACAAAGGACAGCATGAGACTAAACAATATCATGAGTATCATTTTTGTGGGTGAAAAATTAGTACATTTTGGTTTTTTTAAACCATGAAAATATCCTTGGCAGTTTATTGGCAATTTGAAAGACTGAATTGAAAATGTTTGTTGCAAAAGCTCGTTCTACAAATAATTTCAGGACAACGCATCGGTTACTAATCTTAAAAAACAACAAATATTAAAATGTATCAATCTGAACAGTGTCAGTTCCATATGTAGGAATGAAGTGCTAGAGCCATTATTTTTAAAGATATATTTCGATCGTGGTACAAGTGGTTTGAAAAGGAAAGCGACCAATTGATGTATTATATTCAAAAGAAGTACTATTTGCCCTATCAATAACTGCGTTTACTAAACCAATTGAAGGGATTAAATCTGTTTTGTGTAAAGCCTATGTAGCAATAAATAATATAATTATTTGAAAGGAGCTTGCTCTCATTTTGTGAATAAATTGTTAGGCTAGTTAATGGTACGGTAAAAAACAGAATGCATAATGAAATCGCGTTCACAGAGGCGTTATAATGAGTATGATAGTTATCAATGTGTAATATTATGAAGTGTGAGAGTAAAAGATGAAAAGATATAGGTAAGGGACAACGAGGAGGCGCATGAAAGTTGCAATGTAGTTATCACGACTGCTAAATATAAAATGATACTTATCAACTTCTTTATGCTTCAACTGGCACTTTAACTAATACAAATTGGTATGAATTGAATTAAACAAATACCCGTAATGGTAGTGTAAGCAATAACCCTTAAGAAATCCTGGTGTAGAATTCACATTGAAATAGGTGATAACTTGATATTATTTTCTTGTAAAAAACAAAATAAAGTATAGGATTGTTATGCCCAAGTTCGCGAATTCAAACATGTTCAAATCTATTCAAAACTGCTTGCAGCTGTAAGAGCAAAAAATTTATTTCGTACTCCTTCCTTCGGAGGAAAAGTAGAGTTCGCTGTCCCATGTTGAAGATGTGTGGCATGTAAATGATCGTCAATCCAAAAATAAGCCTCTATTCTTAATTCAAATCGCATAATTCGTCGCCCGAGTGAAACCGCCTTTCTCTGCTAGATGAACTGAATACGTGTTATTATAAAAAGTACTAGAGGTACCTCGTCAAAAATAATGTGTCAAAATCAAACGCCCAAAAAGTAATTCATTATAATGAACAGTAGAAGAGAGCAGTATCGCGCGAAGCAGTGGGGACAATGTCAGAACGGGACTGCTGGGTCGTCTACTGACGTCGGGACTACTGACACATCGGGTGGGCCGCGACCTCTCCCACAAATGAGTCGTCGTCGGCGGCGATGTGCGGATGAAGGTCGGTCGCCAGGTGCCAAAGCGCCGTCGCTTGGCTTCTTCAAAGAGCAGCTCCCACACCAGCGCTTTGTTCGCGCGCGTGGACGCGGGCCTGCCGCGATGCTTGGGACGCGCGTTGTGTAACAGGAGGAAATTTCACGGATTTTTCAAAGAAGACGCTGACGCGTGGATCTTGAGAGGACATCCGGCAGAAATACACTGCTGCATTGTGTGGGGGGCCAGGAGATGGGTTTCATTAATATGAAAAGAACCTGTTATGATATGTTATTAATGAAAATAGAGGGTGAATATTCTAATCAATTCAAATTCTACAGATACTTTACTTGAAGGTTGGGGTGCAATGCAATAAAAGCTTTAATAAATGGACGAAAAGGCGTATTTTTGTGAATCTTTAGAACTTGATTGGGCGATTTTTGGTGGTTTTGATGACCTCTGAACAGAAATGGGTTGAGTGATACTAATAAATCAATTTTGACTTCAATTTTTTAATATTAATACAGTCTCGTTTTTTATAATCTGAAACTAGGAACTCAGAGTTCACACAGAGTTCGAGATCTGTGCCGACGTTGATTATCACTACTTTCTCTTTGACTCTCTACATGTCTTCCTGTTCGCCTTCGGCTCTAACGTCTTTTTTCTAAGACAACAGGAGATAAAATCGACAAGTGTGATACTGCGGTTCTTACAAAGAGACACTTGCATATTCAGACACTCTGAATTGATTTTACTTTTACTCCACATTTTACTGGATCATTAGTCGTTTCGATAGACAGGATTAAGAGCAACTGGGCATGAACAGGAGAACCAGGTTCGATTCTTGGCCGGGGTGACTAATGCTTTGAGCAATTTAAAATTCTAACGTACCTTTGTTCTAGTAAGACCTTATTACACAAGATCACCTAAACGAAGATATTTACTATGCGAGACGTTTCCGATATTAATTGTCTATGCAACATGGTGTCAGGTTGGTGACTGTTGAATATCACATAGAGATAATATATCTAACCTAAGAAATTGTTCAAAGTGTAAGTCCACTCAGTAACTCAGTGGTGAGAGCATCTGGATATAAATCAGAAGAACCAAGGTCAATTTACGGTCGAGATGTAATTTAGGCATTGAATAATTTACTATTTTTTAATTTAAATTTTAATTTAAATTTTTAACCAATGTGTTTGGAAACATTGTATTTGGGAGAAAGTATTGGTTTTAAACCATTCTATTTTTAATCGGAGGCGGTATTTAAAAAATTAGAATATGAAACAAAAAATGTGAAGGAAAGTTGGAAGAGGTTAGAGATTTGGGAACTGGTGGAATAAAATCATTTTCAGTCAAAATCATTGTTCCAAATAATTCATTTCGCTTAGCTGTTTTTATAAACTTTCTTGAATTAAACCCCTTTCAGGGTATCATGTGTCAAAATACGGTCGATGAGAAAAAAGAATAAAATAAAGAATTAAAAATATTCGTTTCAAGCTCAAACCATCATTTTTGACCAGCTGGATCCCAACACTAGGTATGGGGTATGGTATGATCGAAATTTTAGTCAAGACTGTGGGTTCAGATTCTTGAAAACGGATATTTCATTTGGAAATGACATGTCGTGTGGTGGTTTTGTGCTGTGAACTTACAATCAAAAACGTGTCATTAATTCGATGCATGTGAACATTTTTAAGGTAATAAATATTTTCTAATGTTAAAATACAAAAAATAAAATTGCACTTTGTTTCGTAAAAAACACCAACTAAAACAATTTCATATTGACACAGCATTAGAATACTTCCCTTTTCTGCAGAATTTCGTGTTTTCATCAAGAAAATTAAGAGATAGAACAAAGAGTCTGCTAAGACCCAAAGGTTGGGACATGCATGTGATCACTAAATATTATCATTTGTCACATTAGTCGGTATTTGACGCCATAAGCGTGTATGGATATTCAAAGCAGCAATGAAATATTGAAGCATTTTTAGAGTTAAACGATGTTCGAAGGAGTGTGCGAAATATGCTTTCACAAACCTTTCTCTGTGTCGCGTGTCAAAAAGATCTAGCGGCGTTTTCCGCTAACTACCACGGGATGCGGTGGGCAAGGTCAAGGGCGTCGCGAGGACTAAAAAATCGGGAAGCCCCGTGAGGTCACGTCGCTTGCAGCCCCCCCCTCCCCCTGACGCGGCCGCGGCGGGCGAAAAGCAAGTTCCCTTCGGTGTCCTTGCGTCGATCGGCAGTGCAGCAGCTGCGTTATCCGCGCGGCAAGGCAGGCAGTCGGCCGTTGCTGTTGCGCTGCCGCGGTCAGCGGCCGAGCGGGCGGGGCGTGTCCGCCGATAACGAGTATCAACACGCCTCGCTCTGCCGTTACAGGCGCAAATTACCGCAAGGTGAAACCTTTTGGAGTCGCGCCGTTGAGGGAGACGCTTGTAATTAGTCACCCGTCGGTATCGGCGGCTGTAAGCTTGTTTGTAACAGTGTATTCTTATTTTAACAGATTATTATTGTTTAGAGTTGTGCTTTTTTGTCTGTTAGAATGATTCGAGGTCTGTAAATTCATTTTTGCCTCGATAAAGATTTTGTACATTTCTTTGCAAAAGTTGCTCTCAAAGTACTAATAAAAAAACATTTAACTTCATGCTTTTTATTCTTTTTCTTGCACGTGACAATACTTATTATTCGTAATGTTAAATGGTAGTTTATTCATTTTAAGTGTAATAAATGTTCATGTATAAACATAGGTATGAGAAGTTAAACATAATTGGTTGAGAATGGCCCATTTATGTAATCTCAGGTATTGTGTGAAGTAATTGATGTTCGTGCGGTTACATAACTCGAAAAAAGGTGCTTCTTCTTATGCAATTTTCAGCTTACTTAAGTATTTTCCTGTCTTAACTTCTTCATCGCATGGCATGAACGTACTTTCTACGTTCTATTTAGTTTACGTTCCCTTTCATTGTACAAACATAAACTTTTTAAAGAAAACAACCCGATGCATTTAATTTATAGTATTTAACAATTGTTTCATTAACGTCCATATAAAATAAAAACATATTCGGTGGCATTATTGTGAACTTGGTTTTCTGAAGTCGAGGTTATTTTCTCACATTTAATGAAAAACAAACCTGTAAAGTTGACTACCTGGATCTTTTTAAATTAGTCCAAGTACTGACAAAAGAATGACTTACATATATAATAAATATGTCTTCTCTTTGAGGTTGATCCCGTACTTTTTCTTATGTGTGAGAAATTACGTATTTTAGGAAAGGTAATAATTTTCTTGAGATTTCATCTACGCTTTCTGTGTTTTACTGTACGTAAAACGCCGTGCTTCCTGGTTCTATAAATCTTTTCTAATTTATAAACTCTCTCAGCAGCAGCAGCACTTACGATATCTCAATTGTTTGTTTGATTGTTGTGATTTAGGAAGTTGTAACAATATTTGAACTACAGAATAATCTTAATACGTTTGAAAATCATGGAGATAGCAGAACAAATGGCCGCTTAGCCTTTGGCTTGGTCAGCGCCTCCGTTTACAAGTATGTTTGCGGTGTGCGAAATTCGTTTGGCCGCCTGCGCCCTCGCCCACCGCCGCCTGGCGATGTCTCGGCGGCGCGGCGCGGCGCGGCAGTGGGCGATGGCGTACGGAGGTAGATCCCGCGTGCCTTCCGAGATTAGCATCAGCGCAGGAACAAAACGAGCGCGAGTCAGTGGCCGGCGCGATGCGACGCCGACTCGCTATTCCCCCCACCCCTTCCCCGCCCTCCCCTCCCTCCCCCTTTCCCCGGATTCCCGTCATCGCGCTCGCACCTCCCCCCCCGCCACCGCTCGGTTCCCATGGCAGCAGCGCCCTTGGCCGCCTGGATTGCATTGTTGACTGAGAAAACAAACGAGGCACTCTGTTTGTTTTCGTTTGTTTATGCTTTTGACCATTGATCCGGAGCTGAGTGATTAGGTGTACAATTCTGAGCAAAAACAGGAAACGTTTAGAAAAACAATCCTGGTTAAATAATAGATAGAATTAAACAAAACTCTAAAAGGCAGATATTTCGAATGTTTAGTTTTATAGATGTCACGATAATTATTGGATCAATAAAACTGAAATTTAATTCAACAGAAAAAAAATCTATTTTTGTTTTGTTGGATGAGCTTTCATGCCCGGATGGGAGGAAAGTTATTTTTTCCTTCACTAACAATTTCCTTTCTTTGTTGTGTCGTATTGATACAACATCGTACTGTTATTTCAGAGTAATTAATTTAAAACAAAATTACATTTAAATTTCACTGTTCAGGAAAGTGGAATAAATGTAGGTTGCCGATGTTTGGAATGCAGAAGACACAAGAGATTAAGGGAAAAATATCTGTATTACAATTCCGGAATGAGAAATCAGGGAAAGCATTCATATTTAAGGTTCACATATTTATAGCCGCACTTCATATAAGGGGAGTGTGATTGGATTGAACCAAATTTAACACCATAATACGTTATTACAAACTTAATCTTCAATTTTGAATAAAACATTGTCTTTACTGTTCTCATTGACCATAATTTTGTCTCTCGCCATTGTCTTAATTTTGTCTCTCAACATTGTCTTAATTTTCTTTAGCCGTACAAGTGTATCATTTTCTTGATATACTTCAAAGTAGTCTCTTTAAAAAAAATCTGCACGCAATAATTTCAAAACCATTACTAAGATGCAAAAATGTTAACCAACAGCAGATTTCTTTAAATAATAATGAACGTAATTTGATGTTTACATTTTTTCATTTGAAAAGGTATTTTTGATTCAATTCATTTCAATTTCAATGGCTTTCGTAATTTTATCTGATGTAAATGAACATTTTGCTCTTCTTCATTTTTTGACACTTGTTCAGAATAGCTCATGTTATTCCTCATCTTGCGTCATTGTATTTTAAGAACTGGTACAACACTAATTTTACGTCTGAAACGTTAATCCTTGTCATTCATGACTTTTAAGAACAATCAGTTGATATTGTGGAAACAACTATTTTTTTTTCTTGATTCGATCAATATTACACAACACTGCACACTGTAATAATAACTCTGAACATAACGCCGGATCCCCGTATATTTAAGGTCTGCGTAAGAGTGCCTGCCGTGGGCGGCCAGGGCCAGATGTTCGGCCGATGCTTATCTTTAGACGCCGGAGGTTATTCCGAGAGGGACTTCTCAGTGCCATTTGATTTGACACCTAGAGACCATTCACGTCGAAGACATGTACTGCAGATGTATCAACAGCCCCATTCCTGAAATTGGAATTAACGACTAGCTATGTTTGAACCAATAAGAAACGTTTCTTTTTGAATAGGCGCCCACAGTGAAGGGGTTATGAAGTGTTAGTTGATTTTACTCGCAGCAATGCATGTTTATTCCTCGCTCGGATATTATGGTAACAGTTAATTTATGTGTAATAATTTACTCTTATTTGTAATGCAGAGTTTAAGATGTTATCATGAAATTTATGGAGAATGTTTGTTTCAGGAACTTTAATGTTACTTCGAAATCAAATCAAATTACTGCGAATATTCAGGACTCTATTAATTGTTTACATCAAAATGAAAACTATGCTATTAAGGAAATCGGGGTGCAAATTGGCAATTTTATTGCTAGGGAGAAATTCAAAACTTCACGACAGGACGAATCAAAGAATAAATAAGTTAAATAAATGGAATTAAGATCATCTTGGCTTAAGAAAAACAGTACGAATTATTCCACAGGTTGCTTTCGCAAATGCCTTATTGGCTCAATTTTCTTGATATAGATTCTTTAATTTGAACATTTCAAACTGCGGTAATCAAAGATGAGGTTCCTGACACTGATTAATTGTACTCCTGATAACGATAAATATTTAACTGCAGGGGACGTTGAAACTCCTTATTCGATTCAAGTATGCCTTATTTTACGTGGCGACACTCGGGCCATGAAGCCTTTCACCATCTAGCGGAGAAATAAAGTACTACTTAATCGTCGAAGGAGATGTGATTTGTATTTAGCTCAGAGGCACCTTTTAGGCTTGATCTTTTAGATGCAGTAAATCTAGAACGTTGGGCAGCCGACTTTACTTCTCCTGGGAAGGAAGACGCACAAAGGATGTTTTCGTCCTTAAAAAAATCCGATCGAGTTAGAATACGCAAACTATCGTATAATATACGCTGCCCTTTATACCACCAAAACCATAATCATTTTCATGGGTGAACGATCCACACGCATTTCCCTATAGGAAAAAAAATGCACAATGTTCTTATAACGAAAAACATACTTGTCATTGTAAGACAAGACCTCTTACGAAGAAAAATCAGAAGTTAAAAGAGAAAAAGCTACTTTTTCTGACAAAATTGTAAGTCAGTTTTAAGATTAAAAATATAAACACCTAAGCACCATTATGTATTTAGAATAATCTTAAGAGAATTAATTACTCATTCTCAGATTAATTTAGTCATTAAATTTCAGATTCAAACCAAAAGATATTAAAAGTGAATTTCAATTGAGAAAATGTTTCAATTCAATAACAATTTATATTACATTGTTAGAAGTTACAGGTCTTGCTTAAACATTCTGTTCTAAATATTTCTGTCACACAACTCAAATGAAACTAACCCAGAAATGTATTTCTTATTTAAAGAGGGAGTCAAACGGAATGACTCGTTGAACTATATCACGCGAGCAGCGTTTCTTTGACTAATACTTCTCTGTTTTTCGACGAAACCGAGGAGGAAAGGTCGGAATTCATTCGGGTCTGGAAGTTAACCCCATCCCACGCCTGCCCTTTTCACCGTACATGTCTGACCGGGTCGCGTGGTCCACAAAGACCGTGTGAGCTGCACCGCGCCCTCGGCAGAGCGGGAGAGAAAAGGGATACGAAACCGAAAAGCAAATACGAAGCGCATCCTCGATTAGTCATATCTCCTCGTGCGCACACAGCCCCTTTCATTTGAAACCGCGTCGACTTTCCCTGCGGGCGGCGACGCGGGCGCGCTCCAGCGCTCTGGTGACAAATTCGTCCATCGCGCAGCCCCGCCCTGCGCAGCGCGGCGGCCGGCCTCAAAGCCACGACGGCGGGGGCGGGGG